CTGCTGAGCCTGCACGTCCAGAGCCTGTGCTCCACAATGGGAGAGGCCACAACAGTACAAAAAAAAAAAAAAAAAAAAAAAAAAAAAAAAGGATGACTAATAAGAACCTGCTGTATATAAAAAAAAAATTAATTTAAATTAAAATAAAAAAGAAGTCCAGGTAGTGAGTGGTAGATTAGCTTGGATTAAAAATTTTTTAAATGTTAAAATGCACACAGCCTGGGCTTCCCTGGTGGCGTAGTGGTTGGGAGTCCACCTGCCGATGCAGGGGACACGGGTTTGTGCCACGGAGCGGCTGGCCCGTAAGCCACTGCCGCTGAGCCTGCGCGTCCGGAGCCTGTGCTCCGCAGTGGGAGAGGCCTTGGCAGTGGGAGGCCCGCGTACCGCAAAAACAGACAAGCAAATTAAAAAATGCACACACCCTTATGACCTCCAAAATTACCGTGCCATCGTGAATGTTATGTATGATGCCACAGTTCCTCTCTTAAATTGTCCTTTCTTTAGTAACCTTTATTTCCAATCTCAAGTAGAGGTGTCACAGCAGATATTCTCTTTTTTAGAGATAAACTGACAAGATTGCCATCAGGAGCATTAGAGACATTTCCATAATCAAATAGGTCGTTGAAGGTAAAAATAATTCTGCATTTTTTCAAGTAATTAGAAATTATCAAATTGGTCCTGAGGTCTCATCAATGAGCTGAAATCAGAAGTATTTATTGGCATTGTTGGACAGGAGAACTTCGAAAGGAAAAATTTTCTGCACTTTTTACTGTAGCTATGGAAAAGCCTTCAAAGCACACTTTTGGGAGTTCAACCTTATAGCTGGCAAGGCACACTCTGGTGATAGAGGGAAAGATTGATGGATATAAATACCGGGGTCAAGAGCTGTCTGACGAGGCTGCCCTTCTTCGTACTCCTGCCTGTCATTAATGCATTCAGCTTTGACCACTTACTTCCACCTAAATGTCCTAAGATAGCAGCACTTAGGGCCTGGCTCCTACCACTAAAATGATGGCAAATACTCAAAAATAAAGAAAATATATATGATTTTTAGTTCTATGAGAAAATATTAAAACACTCATTGAGATATTAAGATGATATAGTTACCAATAACAAAAGAACTTTCTGGAAAAAGAGTGCCTCTTTCCCCACCTTCACCAGAGAACATTAGAACTTGAGTAGGTGGCTAAGAGGCCTGGATAGTTTTCTTAATTGCACTATTACAAGTTTATGGCAACTGCTATAGGACAAATTTGTTTCCATTAAGCCCTATTTAATAATAAAGACAAACATATTCTCAAATGGAAATGCTAATGGCTATATTTTTTAATACAACCAAATACCCACACATAATCTCACGAGAGTCAACTGACTTAATTTTATTCACAGTACAAACAGCTATCATTAAAAATAAATTAAATGTCTTGCAGAAAGCTGTTACTGTGACTTCCATTATGGCAGGGAGAAATAATTTCTGCTTTGGGAGAATTACCAGAAAGACAAACTAAGAATGGTTTCTAATTCTTACTTACTGTCAGATACATAGCTGCATAGACACTGAGAGCCGCTTCTTTGGATGGAAATGTTTTCCTTGCTCTCATGATGAGATCCGGGTTGCCCGTGCAGGCCTCTTCCCCACTGATGAACTGCGTATACTGCTGACACCCAAGTGCCGTGTAGTTGGGTTTACACAGGGCGAGAAAATGTGGAGCCAGATTTCCTGTAACTACTTGTCCAGCATTTACAAAGATGTCTGTGGCAAATAGTCCAAATGTATAAATTCCTGAGGAAGAAAACACACCATTTTAACTTTTTGGTTTATTGTAGTTCGATTTACAATACACCAAGATGGAAATATTTTAGAAACTATAAAATAGTTCCTACATACATACATATATATATATATGGTTCCTTCCATTTCACTCCCTCCAGCTCCTCCCTTTGCTTTCTGAAGTAGTGGGAGTGTTAAATTATTTAACATATTGAGCTGTCTACCACTGGCTACATTTTTATGCACGGCAGGTTTATAAGACATATGATAAAAGAAGAAAATATATTCTAAGGCTGTGTTTGGGTAATGAGATTTTTTTAAATGGAGACGTGTTTCCCTTGAGAGGGTTCAGTCTATCACCTTCTGCTAATGTTAGTAATCTTTATGTTTTCCCTATTTTTGAATTTTTTTTAATCTTACTAACATTAAGCAGAGCAGTCATCTCCCTTTAATTATGCCTCTTAAGCTCATTCAAACTGATATTAACTCAGCTGGAGGTGCCAATTAGCAGCAAAATCCAATGCCATCAGTCTTCATTTAAATATCATGGAAAATCTTAAGTAAAGCGGAATGTTTTCAGATTAATCTCTATATCGCCATCAGAAACACATTTTTTAAAGTCATATAACAGCTAAGTCCCGCCTTATCTTTTATGGCTTGAGTTTCAATTCATCAAATTTGGGACAATTTAGTAAATAATAAAGCAATTAGATTATAATGTTTAAATTATCTTCACAGTAGTAAAATTTATTTACTTTGTTTATCCGAAGGTATAAAATTAAGTACATAAATTTTTCCCCTTTTGTAAGGAACACGCCAATTTACTCAAATACCAAAAATATTTTCTAAATTCAATGTCATTGGTCATTATGGCCAAAACTTATCTTTCTACTTAGATAGGATAGGCAAAATAAATTCTTTGGCAGCATTGTCAATAAACTTACAGATACAATCAGCAAGGATGTGGTATCGATGTAAAGAAATCCGTTCTTTTATAATTTGGGGTAATAAAATCCATCAGGACATTTTAAAACTATGCCAAAATAATACTTCCCAAACAGTTGGTTCATTAAAAATCATATAATTCTATTATGATAATTAGATGCTTTTTTTCCTTTGTCATTTATTTCTGGATTGTTTGTTTCCTAAGCCTTTACATAATTATTGGCAGTTGTGTTGCAACTCACCAGGATCAAATAATTTTCCAAAATTAGATACATGACTATCCTTTTCATTTTCAAAATATTATGTAACATTATGCAAGGTTCTTGCACCCAAACCTGCACAGAGCAAAACTCTATGTGCATACAAACCACCATGAACCAAAGACCTTAGTTCTCTATTGAAAAAACTTACAAGGAAGCAATGAAAAGCTTTCTTTACATCTTCCCAGCATTCCATGAGCCATACAAGTAAATGTTACTCAAATCAGAAATCTGGCAGAAGCAGAGAAATGGAAAAGAACAAAGCTCAATAAAATGTTACCGTATATACTCTCTCTTTCCAAATCTCATGGCCTAGCATGGGAATATAAATGGCAAGTCTTCACCTCTTTTCTCCTGAAACCTAGGCTAAGAAGTACTCATTTTATTTAACCAAACCATTCTTTTTATCTGGTACAATAAGCTTTCCTGTTTAAAATACAGAGGAATGTTTGATACGGATATGGAAATGTCTCTTGATACTTGTAAAGTTCCCAAATGTGCTTTAGAATTAAAACAGTGCATCAGGCCCAAGGTCAATATTGAAGTTAACTGCAAAGATACTTATTAAAGTGAGATCTCATGAGTGTATCCACTGTGCTGACCTCCAGAATAAAGTCACTATGAAGAGTGATGTCTTATTATGCAGTAATGCTTTGAGCCCAAGCTTCCATTTTATTGTAACAAACTAGAAACATCCAAATCATGATAAACAAGGAAACAAGAAACAAACCAAGCACTCCTAAATATTTTATAAAATCATATAAGAAGTAAGAAATATGCAGAGACTTAAAAGCACACTTTACTGTGTGCCATTCAGGCGGCCTTTGTTTTACTGAGGTTCGCTTTATTGAGCTTCGCAGAGAGTGCATTTTTTTACAAATGGAAGGTTTGTGGCAACCCTGTGTTAAGCAACACTACTGGCACCATTTTTCCAATAACATTTGCTCACTCTGTTTGTCTATGTCACATTTCAGTAATTCTCCCAATATTTCAAAGTTTTTCATTATGATTATATTTATTATTGGTGATCTGTGATCAGTGATCTTTGATGTTCCTATGGTAATTGTTTTGGGGCAGCACAAACTGCACCCATACAAGGCAGTGAATTTAACTGATAAATGTGTGTACTCTGCTCCACCAACCAACCATTCCCCTATATTTCTCTCCCTCTCCTCAGGACCCCCTATTCCCTAAGATACAACATTATTGAAATTAGGCCATTAAAAATCCTACAATAGCCTCTAAGTGTATGAGTGAAAGGAAGAGTCACACATCTCACTCTTAATCAAAAGCTAGAAATGATGAAGCTTAGTCGAAAGCTGAGACAGGCTGAAAGCTAGGTGTCTTGTGCTAAACAGTCAGCCAAGTTGCAAACGCAAAGGAAAAGTTCTTGAAGGATGATAAGAAAGCGGAACAGCCTTACTGCTGATATGGAGCAAGTTTTAGTGGTCTGGATAGAAGATCAAACCAGCCATAATATTCCCTTAAACCAAAGCCTAATCCACAGCAAGGCCCTAACTCTCTTCAATTCTATAAAAGTTGAGAGAGGGCTTCCCTGGTGGCGCAGTGGTTGAGAGTCCGCCTGCCGATGCAGGGGACATGGGTTCGTGCCCCGGTCCGGGAGGATCCCACATGCTGCGGAGCGGCTGGGCCTGTGAGCCATGGCCGCTGAGCCTGTGCGTCTGGAGAAAAAAAAAAAAAAAAAAAAGTTGAGAGAGGTGAGGAAGCTGCAGAAGAAAAGTTTGAAGCTAGCAGAGGATGATTCATGAGGTTTAAGGAAATAAGTCATCTCCATATCAGGAAAGTAGAAAGTGAAGCAGCAACTGCTGATATAGAAGCTGCAGCAAGCTCTCCTGAAGATCTAGCTAAGATCATTACTGAAGGTATCTACACTAAACAACAAATTTCCAATGTAGACAAAACAGCCTGCTATTGGAAGAAGATGCCATCAAGGACTTTCAGATCTAAGGAGAAGAAAATGCCTGGCTTTAAAGCTTCAAAGGACAGGCTGACTCTCTTCTTTGGGGCTTATGCAGCTGGCGATTTTAAGGTGAAGCCAATGCTCACCTACTATTCTGTAAAGCCTAGGGCCCTTAAGAGTTATGCTAAATATACTCTGCCTTTTCTCAATAAATGGAACAACAAAGCCTGGATGACAGCATTATCTGTTTACAACATGATTTACTAAATATTTTAAGCCCACTGTTGAGACCTACTGCTCAGAAAAAAAATTCCTTTCAAAATATTACTGCTCATTGACAGTGCACCTGGCCACCCAAGAGCTCTGATGGAGATGTACAATGAGATTAATGTTGTTTTCATGCCTGCTGACACAACATTCATTCTGCAAGTCATGAGGAGTAATTCTGATTTTCAAGTCTCATTATTTAAGAAATACATTTCATAAGCCCGTAGCTGCCATCGATAGGGATTCCTCTGCTGGATCTGGGCAAAGTTAACTGAAAACCTTCTGGAGAGGATTCACCATTCTAGATGCCATTAAGAATATTCATGATTCATGGGAAGAGGTCAAAATATTAACATTAAACAGGATTTTGAAAGAAGGTGATTCAATCCTCATGGATGACTTGGAGGGGTTCAAGACTTCAGTGGAGGAGGTCACTGAAGATGTGGTAGAAATAGGAAAAGAATTAGAAATAGAAGTGGAGCTTAAAGATGTGACTGAATCACTGCAATCTCATGATAAAACTTGAATGGTTGAGGATTTGCTTCTATGGATGAGGAAAGAAAGTGGTTTCTTCAGATGGAATCTAATCCTGGTGAAGGTGCTGTGAAGACTGTTGAAATGACAACAAAGGATTTACAATCTTTCATAAACTTAGTTGATAAAGCAGCAGCAAGGTTTGAGAGGATTGACTACCATTTCTAAAGAAGCTCTACCATGGGTAAAAAGCTATCAAACAGCATTGCATGCTACAAAGAAATCGTTCATAAAAGGAAGACTCAATCACTGTGGCTAACTTCATTGTTGTCCTATTTTAAGAAGTTTCCACAGCCACCCCAACCTTCAGATGCTACCACCCTGATCAGTCAGCAGCCGTCAACGTTGAGGCAACACCCTCCACCAGCAAAAAGATTACAACTCATTAAAGGCTCAGGTGATGATTAGCATTTTTTAGTGATTTTAATTTTTAAAAGTATTTTTAATTAAGGTATGTATTTTTTTAAGGCATAATGCTATTGCACACTTAACAAACTACAATAGAGTGTAAACGTAACTACTATATGCACTGGGAAACCAAAAACTTCATGTGACTCGCTTTATTGCCATATTCCCTTTATCGTAGTGGTCTAGAACTGAGCTCAAATATCTTGGAGGTATGCCTGTATATTCTTTAGAAATATGTGCATAAATGAATAAAAATATTTTACTTAAGTAGGCATAATATAATTTAACAATATTTAGGAAGGTTCAACTTCATCGAAATACTTTAGTTCTGAGTATATTATTGCTTATTTTGTTATTAAATGTTTCTCATGCAAAGATTAAATAGGTCAAGAACACAGTACTGATGCATGTGAAAAATATAACTTTTAAAGTTTCATATAAAAGCTATCCCTTCAACAGTATAAATGAGGGCTGTGGGGACGTATAAGTTGATGGCAATAAAATGAACAGTCTTAGATACGAAGACCTTTCATCTCCAGAGAGATTTAAAGGCATGATGACATTTGATTAGTCTTTAGTGGGTTTATATATAGATTAGGTGATCTGTGCATAATATCTCCAAAGTCTTCATCTTGTTCCCATCAATATGAGAAATATATCGAAGGGTTACAGTATCCGTAATCTTAATACTGATCAAAATTTATCTTAAATGTTACTTAGTATATATAGATGCACTTTTTCTTATTTGATAAAGCCAGGAAATAATAATCTGTATTAAGTTTTATTGTTTCAGTTAAAAAAAACCTGTCTTGGCCATGTGTCTTTTGAATTGAGATGATTTTCAGTAATTTGTCAATGTTCATATCATTAGTGCTAGAATTTGAGATTTAAAGGATCAGTAAATCTTGTCCCCTAATAAAATCACCAATTTTTGTAAAAAATGGTTTTTGTACTATTTTTTTTGTAAAAAAAAAAAACACCTCAGAAGTAGTTCATGGAGTGCTACTTATGATAACTAACAAATACAGCATTTATTTTATTTGTCCAGCTATTTTCCTTGTCCTTCATGATGTTCGATAACCAACCTAGATTATCATTTCTACCTAAGCGTTGTTTCTGAAATTTAATAAACATAGTAAATCATTTCTTTAAATTATGTAATTTTTAGTTTCTTTTAGAATTTAAATACCCAACTGTGGTGGGATTTGTTTTCCTTAAAATAATATGGAAATGACACCACGAAATGGAGTTTTGCAAAACAGGAGAGAAAATAGTATGCAGTGTTTATTTTTAAAAACCAAATTGAAACATTTCAAAGAAAATATAATCTAATATTCGAATACAGTTAATATGCTAGTCATTTTAAAGGTTGGCTTATACATAAACATTGTTTCAGCAACAATAAAAACAATTCAATGAACACATACCAAGAAATCGCACAGTTCTCCTCACCAGTGGGTTTATATAGCAACAGTCTCCAGTTAAAATAGTTTTCTCCTGGTTTTCAAAATCCCTTGTGGCCAGTTGTAGGCAAAACACAGCAGTTTCTCCAACTATTATCTTCCAAGGAAATAAAAGATTAAAGAACATTAGAATTTAACCAGTATAAATGTAGAATATTTTTATTTTTAAAAAATGCAAAAAAAGGATTTCCTTTGAGTGGTAATAATCTCAATATAAACCTGAACCATATTTGGGTAACCAGACCCTTTTTTTTTTTTTTTTTTGCGGTACGCGGGC